AAGATGACCTCCCAGCACAGTTCCCCCAGCACATCTACGGAACTGCAGAACGTCCCGATATTGTAGTCTGGTCTGATAAAGGAAAGGTGGTCATATTAGTAGAGTTGACAGTTGGTGACGAGAGTAACTTTAGTGACCAAGTAGAACGTAAACAAGCACGTTACAACAGAGAGCTTATTCCTGGGCTGCATGGCAGTGGGTGGAAAGCTCAGCTTTTTACGGTAGAGGTTGGGTGTAGAGGCTTCTGGCATCATACCTTACCAGCCCTACTAAACTACTTTGGTGTTACAAAGAGAGTAAAGAAAGCAGTGTTCCAAGAGGCGGCTTTGGTTGCTCTCAGATGTTCCTATGCAATCTGGTTAGCAAGAGAAAACAAGAAGTGGAGTCCCTGCTACAACATCGCACAAAGACCCACTGTTCTACCATCAACTGAGTGAGCTGAGTGTTGGGCCCTTAAAACATTGTTTAAAGCCACACCTGGAATCTCAAGTACCAGGATCAGTGATGGAAGCTAAGCAGATACATAGATGGAGTTGCTATCGAAAGATATAGAACTCAGGTATCCAACATCGTACCTTGATTATATTGTAGTATTTTCTCACAATGGAAATGGACATGGCGCCTTGCAGGGAGGCGAGTTTCACTGTTGACAGCGGGAAAGACAGCTGACTCTGACGAAAGTGTTAGTGACTCTTGGGAAAGACCGAGTGACGCCTGGGAAAGACTGGTGACATCTGGAAAGACTGATGACCCCTGCGAAAGTGCAGAGTTTAGCAACAGGCTTAGTAGGCCCCCGCTTTACAGAAAGCAATCACTACAAAACAATATACAGATAAATGCCTCAAGACCTCCGATCAGGTGGGGAGCATCAAAGGTCAACCCGGATTAACTGATGAAGGACCTTTGAGAAAGAACGACAATATTTGTCAATGGTGCAAGCGCGAGTTCAAACAAGTCGCAAAACATCTGTGGAGATGTAAGATGAGACCGGCGGAGCTCATAACCGAGCCTCAGGTGAGGGGAGATGACATCCGTAATAATTTGTCGGAGCAGGGAACAAGCCAGGTTTACAACCACAGCGCAGAAACGGGACCTGCAAGCTCTGATATACAGTTCCACTTTAAAGACTTAGAACCGCCTGCCATAGTGATGGAGGTCACAAAGAGACTTAAACTACCAACAGCAGCAGAGAAGGGAGTATGGAAGGGAGTTGATGAAGACCTGATTGTTTTGGTGAACAATGTAGCAGCAGAGGACGTGGAGTCCCGACTGGAGAAGGTAGAAAAGCTGGTATACAGCTATCTGGAAAGTAGATTCGGTGAAGAGGAAGCGAAGAAACCTCGTGTTCCCCAGAAGGAAAAGGAGAACAAGGAGACAAAAGTTATTCGCTTGGCCAAGAGAGAGGCTAAGAGAAACAAGAAAGATGCTAGGAGAAGCAATGATCAGAATATGTTGGCTCAAGCTAAGACTGAGTACCTGAGACTCGTGCGCTTACACAACAAAAGCCGTCGTAATGAGCTCAGGAAGAAGAAGAATAAGGAGAGCAAAAAGGAACAGTCACAGTTTAAACAAAACCCATTTCAATTTGGAAAGAAACTGCTTGACGGGGATAAGAAGAACAAACCCCTTAATTTCTCCAAGGAAGTGGCTGACAGATTCTTTAAGAATGAGTACTGTGATAAGGAGAGAAGTGCTCTATATGTAAAGCTTAAAGGACTGCCCGACGCCCCAGTACCAAAGACTGCATTTGAGATGGAGAGATTGGACTGGAATGAGTTTCAATCGAAGCTGAAAAGCCGTAGAAACAAATCATCACCTGGTCCGAATGGAGTCCCATATCTGGTATATAAGAGATGTCCCAGAATGGCGAAAGCAGTTTTCAAATTGCTGGATTCTCTATGGGAAAGCCAGAGAGTCCCGCTGCAATGGCGAGTAGGTGAAGCCATTCTGATAGCAAAAACTGAGGATTTAGATGACCCTAGTAAGTTCAGAAACATCACTAAAACAAACACTAGTGGGAAGTTGCAGATGGGATTACTAGCGGACAGAATGCTAGAGTATATGGTCAGTAATAGCTACATAGACACGTCTATCCAGAAAGGATTCCTGCGTAAGACACCAGGTTGCCTCGAGCATACTCAGGCTCTGATGGAAGAGTTGAAGGATGCCAAATCTAATAGACGACAGATCTTTGCAGTTTGGGTGGACCTAATGAACGCCTACGGCCGGGTTCCCCACAACTTGATAATATATGCTCTAAGACATTATAAGTTCCCAAACTGGCTCATAGAATATATGTTTAAGTACTATGATGAGCTGATTGTGAGAGTGGTGACAAAGGACTGGAAAACAAACTGGTTCTTTTATATGTTAGGTCTTTTTCAGGGCGACCCTCTTTCGGTTGTACTGTTCTTAATAGTTTTCAACCTACTATTGGATCTCCTGAAAAATCAAAGCGACTTGGGTTACAAGCCGTCTTTTAGTTCTAGCAGCACGTCAAGTCGTGCTTTTGCTGACGACCTAACTCTGATGTCTCCCAGGCTGGAAAAGATGAAGAAGCTAATAGATGTGATGGAAAGATTTCTTACTTGGTCAAGGAAAATGAAAGCCAAGCCGAGTAAATGTGTATCCCTGGGGATGAAGGTTATAGATGGAAGGTATGTGTCCTATGACCCTGAAATTTTCATAGATGGAGCTCAAATCCAGTTTATTGGAAATACACCGATGAAGTTTCTTGGCCATTGGATATATGTGGATCTGGGCCTCAAAGATACCAAGAAGCTGATAGAAGACAAACTGATTACACTGTTTCAGGCAGTGGACGGATCAGGCCTTAATGGAGTGATGAAATGCTGGATTTACAACAACCTCCTAACCAGTAAGCTCTCCTGGGACCTGATGATCTACAATCTCCCGGTTAGTTTTGTCAAAGATCTTGAAGCAATATGTACGAAGTATCTGAAGAAATGGCTAGGTGTAACAAAGACAATTACTGTCAGTGTGCTTTACAGAAATAAGGATTGCTTTGGATTAAATCTTAAAAGACTATCGGACTTATACAAGTTCCTTCAGGTGTCCAAAGGTTACTCTCTAAAGAACAGCAAGGATCCTAAAGTTAAGGAGGTCTACGAGCACAGGGCCAAGAAACAAGAAGGGAGCAGTCGGTGGGGTTACACTAATGAGCTGAGTGCTAGAGAAAGAGATCTTTACTTCAGAGAGTTAGTAGGGGTAACAGTGCAAGGCAGGATGGGCTTGGGATCCAAGAGGAGTGTAGCCAGTGAAAAGGAAAAACTGAAAGAACTGGTATCCCACATCTCAGAGCAGGATATCCTGTTGACACTGGTAGACAAGGGAGTTCAAGGACAATTCTTAACATGGGAAAACACCATGCAGCTAGACCTAGGTTGGAACAACCTTATTTACAACTACAAGATGAGCCCTGCTCTTCTTAAGTTCCACCTCAATGCAACCCATGACGTTGCAAATACTCCAGCAAACATGAGCCTGTGGAACTATGCTGACACAGGACACTGTCCACTTTGCGGATGGAGACACTGCAACATTAAGCACATTTTGGTAGCTTGCAACTTCTCGCTGAACAACAAACGATACAATTGGAGGCATGACAACGTGCTGCGGGTCATTGCAAAATCCCTACTGGATCAAATAGAGAAGTTCAACAACAAAGATTTCAAACTTGAAGTTCAGGACTGGACAGGCTTCAAGTCATCTAGCAGCTGTTACCAAAAACCAAAGACGAAGATGAAAAGAGAGAGCCCTTTTGAGAAAGACCAAGATTGGCAGATTATCTGGGACGAAGATGACCTCCCAGCACAGTTCCCCCAGCACATCTACGGAACTGCAGAACGTCCCGATATTGTAGTCTGGTCTGATAAAGGAAAGGTGGTCATATTAGTAGAGTTGACAGTTGGTGACGAGAGTAACTTTAGTGACCAAGTAGAACGTAAACAAGCACGTTACAACAGAGAGCTTATTCCTGGGCTGCATGGCAGTGGGTGGAAAGCTCAGCTTTTTACGGTAGAGGTTGGGTGTAGAGGCTTCTGGCATCATACCTTACCAGCCCTACTAAACTACTTTGGTGTTACAAAGAGAGTAAAGAAAGCAGTGTTCCAAGAGGCGGCTTTGGTTGCTCTCAGATGTTCCTATGCAATCTGGTTAGCAAGAGAAAACAAGAAGTGGAGTCCCTGCTACAACATCGCACAAAGACCCACTGTTCTACCATCAACTGAGTGAGCTGAGTGTTGGGCCCTTAAAACATTGTTTAAAGCCACACCTGGAATCTCAAGTACCAGGATCAGTGATGGAAGCTAAGCAGATACATAGATGGAGTTGCTATCGAAAGATATAGAACTCAGGTATCCAACATCGTACCTTGATTATATTGTAGTATTTTCTTTGCCTATAACAATGAAATATGTGAACAATTCCAAACACATTCAGCTCACAAAATAATGCTAGACTATTCGGCATTTCTTGTCAGGATGTCATAAACATCCCTCATATAAATTTCTTAAATGTGTGACGGAGTTTACATGGTGCTACCATTTAAGGAAAAAAGTCGCTAAATATGTAGATAATAGTCATATACAGCTATTCTATGAATTGGAAATTCGAAAATTTGGTCAAACACGGCAACAAGGGGTCCATATAAACTCCGTCACGTTTTTATAGTGTGACAAAGTTTACAACTCACTGCCGGCCGCATTTAAGCGATATCTTATCGTCTGATAAAGATATCGTTATGTGACAAAGTTTATCTAGAGGATGAAACGATTATCTTAGGGTTAGAGGGTTTATATAGTTTCATAGTGTGACACATTTTACATCATCGTGCCATTCAGAAGGGTCACTAATATTTACCAATATCCTCAAACTTCAATGAACGTGTCCATATAATATATTTTCTAACGATCATCTGACTTTTTGTAAAAATGTATGCAAAAGCAAAAAGGCTGATAGTAGTGATAGTGGTAGTAATGCTACAGTAAGTAAAACTTAGAATAAGTATTATTAGTAATAGTTTTACCAAACACATGATGATGAGAGTTATCACTATTGATCTCTGTCGTCTCTTCCTGAGCTTTACTTGATGAGTCTTCTTGACTGCCAGCTGGTTTCGTATTATGAACGTGTTGGCCATCGAGACCTGAAAGAGTTACTTTATAAAATGTTATTTCAAATCAAAAGGATTTGATGTTCGAATATTATAGTTCACCAAGAAACAGAGAAAACTAAGCTATACCAGTCTGAATTATCATCTAAAAAAAACACTACTTTGCTAGCAGAGCTGTAAGAGGCACCTTGAGTGTCTTATCACAAGTTACATAGTTCAAGCAATAAGGTTCCATACAGCGACATAGCTTACCTTTTTTATGCTGCTTTTGACAGTAGCTTGGAACCTTTTTCTCGAAGGAGCTCTAACGATAGGTGTCGGGAGATTGTTAATGGAGGGTACAGCATTGTTAAAAGGCCCCATCCCCTTCACTCCAGCGCAAATAGGAGCCGACCCTGATGGCACAGCAGCACTCAAAGCAGCTATGGACAGACTGGCGAGGCTTGGACTGGTTTTAATGCCGCTCCTTGCTGCAGAACTCGACCCCTCGCTCTGTAGTGTAGAAGTGGATAAGGACTTGCACACATCACCCAGAGACAACCTCTTATTAATATTGGGCATCACTTTGAACTCGGCAGTACTGGGGATTATAACGAGGTTAGATTGAAGGATATCAGCTTTACCAGTCAGTTTCATCATGTCACTGCACCTCAAGGGGCTAATCAGATCTGCAGGTGTCTCATCTTTTTCTTCTAAATAACTGTTGCTGCAGTGGAAGTGGTGAGAGTTAAGTTACGCAGGTAGTATCTACAGGCTGTCCCAAGAAAGGCAAACAAGTGACTTTTTGTTAATGATAAATTACGTTCTCAAATTATTCTTTGGTTATTAACACTGATCACTTGGTTGCCTTTTTGGGGACACCCTGTATAACATGTAAAGTGTAAAAGTTTTTATTTCCCGATTTTGGTAATTCAACTCTCGAAAAGTATCCACAGAAGTCGGAGCATAAGTTTTAACAATATAGTCGAATTCTTCATATGAAGGGCAGGGCACCTGATTAACAAATTATAATTAATTATAAGTATGTCCAAATAATTATAGCTAATAAAAGCAAGATACCACCTTGTTTAAATTGGCAGCATTAGAACAAATTATTTCTCGGCTGTTTCAATGCAGCCTGGATTTCCAAGTAGCCAAAATTGAATATGTACTAAAGTTGCTAATTTTGTAATTTTAGGAAAATGGTATCGGAGATAGTAGATTAACTACTGGGTAAATAGTCTGACACAGGGCCTGTCTGCTCACCTAAATGTGGTATCCTGGGTAGATAGCTGAGACGTAGATTTGCTGACAGTTCTCTGAATGGTACGATACATGGACTGGTTTAGTCTCACAATCACTGCAAGATTTGGGGCAAGAGAGAGGGCACATAGGATGAGGTAAATAATAGCCACCACGTGCACAAACACGTGCCTTTCAAAGTAGGACATCCCTTCTGAGTCAGATCCACTCTCCTGGGCACATGATAATTAAAGTCGGGTTTCAATACTAGAACCTTGTTAATAATGCTGCCAGAGATCAGGTTGTAATACTAGAAAAGGGGCCCATAAAAGCTATTAAAATAGCTATTTAAAAAATCTGCCTACGATAACAGCTTGTCATGCATGTTTGGGAAGGTTTATAAGCATGATGAGTTAGATAATTACCAGGAACCAGTAACGACCCTGACACACAGTTGTTGAGTTATCAGTCGAGTACACTACAAAATCGGAGGAGTTTACTCCGTGATTGACTGCTACTGGTATAACCAAGATGAAGACTGCTATCCAACAAATAGTGATCCAAACGTACACCTTCTTTACTGTCACGAAACACTTGTATTTTAGCGGGAAGAACACGATAACGAACCTGAAACAATGATATAGTGTGAAATAGGAGCGGCAACCTAGACTAGTCCTCCCGGGGCGTACCGATGATAAACTTTGCCTGCTCACAAGTACTACGCACTGTCATGGTAACTCAACTGTCTAAACTAACAAAACAAAGTGGGTGCTACTGGTTGTCATGGTAACTCACCTATCTAAACTAACAGAACTAAGTAAATGGTACTGGTTGTCATGGTAACTCACCTATCTAAACTAACAGAAGTTAGTGAGTGGTACTGGTTGTCATGGTAACTCACCTATCTAAACTAACAGAAGTTAGTGAGTGGTACTGGTTGTCATGGTAACTCACCTATCTAAACTAACAGAACTAAGTAAATGGTACTGGTTGTCATGGTAACTCACCTATCTAAACTAACAGAAGTTAGTGAGTGGTACTGGTTGTCATGGTAACTCACCTATCTAAACTAACAGAAGTAAGTGAGAAGAGTGATAAGTATATGGAAGTCTCGAAGATTACCCCTGTTATCTGACAAGTAACCATTGGGACAGTAGAAGAGGGTTCTGTTAGGTTCTGTACTGCTATCAAGTAGATGGAGAAGGGGTGTACGAGCAATGCTACCACAGTATACATCAGACTCAGGTTCAGGAAGAACACGTTGTTAGCACTGTGCTTCAGTTTAAAGAACGCTCTGAAACAAATGGTTGTCACAGTAACTCAGAAATTAGTGCCAACAATGATAATCAGGATGGAGATTGGAGAACCTGAAGATAATAAAAGTTAATCATAAAAAAGGAATCCTAGCTTATATTACAAATAATATATCAGCTAATAGCAGGAAAGCTAGTAACTCACAAGAAAGTGACGATGTTTCCAATTACTGTGAGCACTAGCAGAGCTACTAAAACAATGCAGGTCAAACTTATCAGAATCTCATTGCATCTGGGCTCACCGTGGCAACTTGCCATCTTGCGAAAAATAATTTAAACGATAGATCTTATCTAAACAGATTGAATACAATCCAGGAAAGGTGATGTTTCTATGGTAACACGACCATGGGTAACATGTCAGGGGAATAATATTACTCAGTTTTCTATAGTAGAGTAACATACACCACACTACAGATCGATAGGTAATGGTTAGGAATCTGCGCGTTCAAACTTCAAAGATGTCGCAGATGTTTTACCGATATCGTCTACTTAGGTTGGCGGGGAACTAAATAAACCCATTAAAAAGGCGGGCGGCACACATAGGTACGTTTCGTCACTGCAGTTGCTATGTTATAGCTACTAGCTAGGTGTACCACGAGCATCAAACTATTAAGAAAATGGTTACTGGGCGGCGCTTAGCCTGTCATTCCGCAGAATCTCTATGATTATGAACATAAATATAATAGCCTGGGAAAATAATGAATAAAAGGTCAATAATGATGCTTTAATAACACCAGGTATATGAGGTGTTATTTAGGGAACTGGTAGCTCGACAAGAAGGAGTATTGCGAGTGCGTGTCCTGTAACAGTAAAGTGGGAAGAGGACAATTATCTGGCCAAGAATCCCAAATAACATTACTAATAGCAACGAATCTACGTTGTTATAGTAGCGAATCTCCCTTGTTTCGAATCTGCTGCTATTTCCTGGTGACAGTAATTCACAACAGGTATAGAAGTGTACTGGCGCCGGTCTCACGTGTGAAGTACTACATAATAACTAGTCACTGCGAGTGTGACTAGTCATTGTCAAATTGATCTGACAGCGACAAGTCGTTGCTATGAAGTAGCTCTAAAGACGAAATTCTAGACAGGTTACAAACACAGACAAACGGTTACCATGGCTACCTTTACAACTGATTAACCGTACGAACGGACGACTAAAGACCGGTCAAAAACAGTTGCTGGGGAGTTTTATCGTCAGGCTGAGCCTACCTGTTACCATGGTTACCTACCTGTGTGGTCATGTTTACTTACCCACACAACTAAGGTCGGTCAAAAGTTTGGCCGGAAATGTTTTTGAAAAATTTGGAATTCAGATCATTATTCACATATGCTTCGTCATATTAGAATTACAAGCTTAACATTTGCCATTTTGCAAAGATGGGAGTGGTCACAAATATAAGTGGCAATTTAAAACCAGTAGAAAAATGCAAGGTTATAAGCAAGTTAGTAAGTACAGATCAATCATCAATGAAATTTTGAATTACCATGTATGGCTTTAAGACATTTCGATCAGAGGTAAAAATGAGAAATTTAATTTTAAAGTTATCAATTACGTGTATTTAATTACAGGCAATGTCGGCCCCTGCCTTGGTAACCTTGGTAACCTGCGTTTATTTTATATTAATGAAGACTGTAGACTGTGTCTAATTAAAAGTAATTATTTCATCTCGCCACAACATCGTGCTCGGAGCACATGAAAATAGAAAATATCTCTGTTTTGAAAAGGAGCATTTATTTTAAGAGCTTATTAGTGTATTGTAATAGAGGATAATTATGTTTATTAGTGAATTAAACGGATTATATTGACTGATTGAGACTTTGATTGAAGTAATAAATACATTCTGAATACAAAAGATTTGAACAGTTTAAGAATATTAGCCTCTAATTATAAAGCAGGGTGGAAGAAGTTACTTTAGAAGTTTAAATTGTGTATCTGACTTTCTTTTTCAGGCCACTTATCAGATCTTTAAGATGTCCATATTATGTTCTATTTAAATGGTTTGAATAAAATTATATAATGTATATAACTAAAAACCCGCTAGTCTAAAGCTTCATTGGTCATTGGAGGAAATTTAAAAATTGCAGTTATGTTCTAATTTCTCTTCATGAACTAGCTCCGTACTGTAGAAAGTATTTTGGTCTGCCGTTGCCGGGGAGATTTCATCAAGTTTAAAATATAATATTGATATTAAAGTTATATAATCTTATGATCTATAATTATAACTATATAATAATTGTGTATTTAACTTTAAGTGTGATGTGGATTAAAAGCTCCCAACACATTTTTATGATCGTCTTGGTTCTTTGGTTTACAAGCTAAAACACTAGGATTACAGAATTACGTAGCAAATATCCCCTCGCGAGATATCGGCGAAGAACTGTCTCGATCACGTGACATGACCAAGTAAGGAAGTTGGTCTAATTTCTCGTACAGGGTTAGGGTTTTAGCATATGCTCTAGTTAGGGATTGGGTTAGGGAAGCATCAAACCATGGTGTAGTCTAGCAGAATGTTGTAAAGTTAACACTAGCTTGACAAGACACACGGAGGATCACCAAACCAGAACTTGTATTTTCTTCTTTACTACTCTACTCTTCTCATATCCGTCCAGCAATGCCCAAGGGCTGATATAAGAACATTAGACCAAATAACGGAGGACGATATATCGCAAGTGCATAATTTTGCTGAGTGTACAGTGTACGGTCACAATGCTTTAGTAATTACCACCCACTACTCTTTCTTACTAATTTGCACGTGCGAAAAACAGACACGATTATCGATTTCATAATGGTGATAATACAGTGATGTCTTTAACACAACTCCTAAAGTTTGCTACTAAAGTATCTAGCACTCGTTAGTAGGACCTGATGACTAACAAGCTTGTATAAGTTGACTCTGTCGAGCACAGGTCGTCAGGGATACCCACGTGTTAGTCACGGGTTGTCAAGGAAACCGACGTGTCAGTCACGTGATATACTACGGAACTATTATCGTTATTAATCTTGCTCAACTTGGAGGTCCTCAAATACTTTCACGCGACTTGTCTATTTGAACGTGGTAATGATTGTGTGCAGGCGGTTTGTGATAGTACGTTTAACCGTAAACTGTTAACTGTTAACTGTTTAATGTTAACCGTAAACTGTCAACAGTTAACAGTTAACAGTTAACAGTTAACAGTTAACAGTTAACAGTTAACAGTTAACAGTTAACAGTTAACAGTTAACAGTTAACAGTTAACAGTTAACAGTTAACAGTAAACAGTTAACAGTTAACAGTTAACAGTTAACAGTTAACTCTTAACAGTTAACAGTTAACAGTTAACAGTTAACAGTTAACAGTTAACAGTTAACAGTTAACTCTTAACTCATAACTCTTAACTCTTAACCCTTAACTCTTAACTCTTAACTCTTATTATTATGACAAATAATATCAAACTGTTAGAGTTACGTTTCTCAAATGTTAATCTTTTATTACAGTAATTTATAATTTATATACACTAGCAGGAACCCGTCTAACTTAACCCTAAAGTGGCGTCAAGATTCAAGATACTAAAATAATTGTTTCCTATTTAATTCGCGTTTTTGACACAACTTGGGGGCCACATTTTGGTAACTAAAATTCTCATTCCTTGGCCAAATTTTAATTTTTTCATGCTTATTTGAAGGCCAATAATTAAAAGCATTTGAACCGGACGAAAAAGTTTAAGTTGTATATCTTTTACGGTTTTTGCCGAAAGTCGTGTTAAAGTTGATGCCGTGGTGTCAGTAAAATGGTACGGATATATATCGTCTCGCTTTATAGTCTGAACATGAGCGGTAGAATTATTCGGGAAAAGAAGTTAACTAAACGGAAGTTGAAGTGCTTTAAACTACGCAAAGTTGTAAGCAAATTATTTGTTTGAATTCTCAAGTTATTGGTCCACTTTTATTGTAATAGTTACCAACTGTAAATAACACTTGCTAACCTTGGAAATCATAGTTACCACTGTAAATAACACTTGGTAGATACGTTACATTTAGATCTTAATAATTCAGGCTCCAGTCAGAGGGAGCAGAATACCGTTCCCTTCAAAAACAAGGACAGTGAAGGAGGGGAAAAACGCACCTTCAGATCAGACCTCTTCTTCAGACTCATCTTCTTCTTGTTCTTCAGACTCCACAACTTCCTCCACCTCCTCCATATCATCATCTTCCTCTTCAACCAAATTATCTTCATCTTCAGATTCTTCTTCGACTACTGCATCGTCCAACAGTAACACAACTTCATCCAGTTCCTCGTCTTCAGCGGGTCGGAAAAGAAACAAACGACCTCCGCACTCAACCACTACTTTTAAACCGACTAAATTAACGAATCACCTAAAACCGTCCTCAAAGGAGAATACGAAAACTTTAAAAGGGGCCAGCCTTAGAAGAGTTCAGAAGAAGAGGAACACGAACGAAAGTAACGATAGTATAACAAACCAGTCAGTAAGTTACCATGACAACCAGCCAGTGAGTTACCATGACAACCAGCCAGTGAGAGGAGTAGTTTATTTGAGATCACAGGAATCGATCAGACCTGTTGAAGAGGGCAACTTTGTGGAACCAAACAACATTCTGCAGGGTCAGTTAACTCTTAACAGAGCCAATTATTCACTGCTTAATTGGTGGAGCCCAACATGAAATACTATATCTTTCTTTGCAAAGTTTTTTGCAAATTCTTTGCAAATTTACTGCTTGCAAACATTGCATATAAAATTGGTGTTTGCCGATGCCAATTTTCTATACGTTTACACTTACAGTTGAGGGAGAATGATTTTCTATTTTTCAGGTCAGATGAAACGTCTTGGGATACACGACAAATAGTTACCATGGCAACCGGTCAATAATTACCATACTTGGGCTAAAAGTGAGGGCTTCAACTCAATAATAATAATCAGACAAAGAAAACTTCTGGATTGAACTTCTGAAATAAAACTCCAGGTTTTAGACTTTAGAGCTGCAAAGTGCAAAATCATTACGAAACTTGATCCAATTATTAATGATACACGTATTTGTTGGTTATTTCTATTTTAGCTCGCTTTTGTGTGCAACTTATTGATAGTCGTTTATATTTTTGTGAATAAAAAACAATTATAAGAAGTTTATTTACGAAAAATTGATATATTGTGTAAATATAGCGGACAATAATTAATCGTGTACGTATTATTTACTACTAGCAGGAACCCGTCTAACCCTAAAGTGGTGTCAAGACTCAAGAGACTAAAATAATTATTACCTATTTTACCAAAACCCATAATCATGGGTAGAGTGGACCGCTGCCAGTGTCTCTCTTTCCCAAACAAAAGGAAATGGTATTAATTTGATTGACCGTTCTCAAATGCAAAATGATACCGAGAATGAAATCGGTCGCTCGCTTTTCCCATTCATTCACGGCTTACGAATTGTATAAATAAGTTTCGATTGATTACATCAATCAGATGCCGTAAAAATCTCTTTGGGTTGCGTTCGGGTCGATACCTAGTATTTCGGGGTAAGGGACAAGGGTGGTAGTTATTACTTATTGAACAAGCTGAAGTTTATTGAATCTTCATTGCCGAGTACAGCTGCCTTTGGGTAGTTCTTCTTAATCTATTACAATTGTAAATGAATGGGAAAAGCGAGCGACCGATTTCATTCTCGATATCATTTTGCATTTGAGAACGGTCAATCAAATTAATATCATTTCCTTTTGTTTGGGAAAGAGAGACACTGGCAGCGGTCCACTCTACCCATGATTATGGGTTTTGGTAAAATATCATCTCTTTTTGATTATAATGTCAGGGTACTTTATAAAGTCGAAATATAAACTGATAGTGATATCTTCAATAATAAGGAGGAAGTTTCAACGATTTCGAAATTTTTCCTTTAAAAACATTTCCTTGTGTTTAGGGAAGCATATCGGTCGATCACTGACTGAATATGCTACTTAATACTCATTCAAGTTGGCATTAAATTCATATATAATGACATTAAACTGTCGTGGCAAAGCAGAATTTGTTGGAAATCACGAATGAGCAAAATTCTCACCTTTCGCACGTGCAAACTTTGAGCGGACGTTGCGTGCGCATCCAATATTGAATCGCCGTAAATTTGTGCATGTAATTGTTTTATATATAGCTTAATAAGCATGCAAAGTTTCAAAGTATTTCAAGAAGAACTGTAATCACAACGGCACTCTAAAGTTGACAGAAAATGACGAAAACAGCAATTTTTAGTGATTTTAGCAATTTTCTATCAATTTAGGCGTGTCCCCAAGTGTGCAACTTTTCGATTTTTAACTTTAAAACTAGCCTAATGCACAATTTATACCTATAGAAAGCAGAACTGAGCTCCACAACCTAAGGCATGGCCCAACACCAGAGAATACTAAATCGCAAATTTGACGTTTTTATAAAATAATTCTTCAAAAAAGCACAAACTTCAATGACGAATATCTTTATGAAGGAGCTAGCTAGAAAAACTTTCTGGTAGATTTTCAGAATGCTTGAACAATTACGGTATCTAAGGTAAAAATTTCCTCAGATTTTGAATAAAATTACTCCTTAATGGTTTAAAATTAATTTTAAAAGTTATTACTTTGTCAAAAATCAAGTTTTAAAAACGGTTAACTTGATGACGTCATCAAGGGGTGTTTATGACGTCAAATAATTTTTTTATACAATGTAAACTAAAGTGTAAACAAATATTTGCAAGACCTGTGGTCGGAAATGGCTGTATCTTTTATACTTTTGAATCTATGGACACTTAAATACAGGCTACAATTGACTGGCAAAGCGTCTATCCCTGAATATATATATATGTATGTATCACGACTAGAGAGTGGTTCATTTTACCAAAAGTTGTTCAAATAATTAGACATCATATCTTATTAGTTGCTCTATAGGGTCAGGAACGACCAAAAAAATTTTTTTGACTCTAGTGTTCCGGATATGGTCCGCACATGCCACGCCCATTTTTATAGCGTTTCTTATACAGGTAAAATAGGGAAAATCGCATTTTTTAACATGAAAGCGTCATTTCTGTGCTTTGAGACTTTCTACTCTAATATAAATGTGATGATGGCATTTCGTTTAAACATATTTTCAAAACTCTGTGACCACGCCCTGGCCGTGGACCACGCCCCTATTTCTTATACACATAAAAACACGAAAATCGCAGATTTTTAAATGATTGGATTGATTTAGAGCTTTGAGACTTTCTACTCGAATATAAATGTGACCCAAGCATTTCGTTTGAACATGGTTTAAAATTCCTGTGACCACGCCCTATGTGCCACACCCATATTTTTTTAACAAATTTGTACATTAATTTTATTGTTAAAAGTTATGAAAATTAAATCATACATAATTGTAATACTACTTAAAAACATCTATTTAAAC